CCATCCCAGAAATACATCAATATTGTCATTGCCATAATTCTCGACGGCAATATCAAGTATAGTATCGTTGTTAAAATCACCAACAGCAACAGGCCATGGAGAGGAATCAGTCGAATATAGTTTTTGGCTTTTTCACTTTAGCCATCGTCGCACAGTATCAACAAAATATTAGCATTCCACAAGCGATACGTTACCGCTCAATACCATGATACTGAGTGAACCAAGCCTCAAATGTTCCTTCTACATATGTCAGAAGATATTGGTTTTTGACATCACTTTTAAAAGCGTTTCGTGTCCATGACCATGTTTCTCCGAAAAGATCGAGACTCGGATACATTCCCGGGGTCACAGTATCAATATTAGTTCTCGTCTAGAATCGTCCCGACCCAGCATCGACCCCGGTCTCATTTTCAATATCTGTCTTGGCCACCCTATTCATTTACATCTTCATCCTCGTCATCGTGTATATCTTTGTTCCGATTGCGATTTGTATTCTCCTCATGGCTTTCATTTATGTTGCAGTTCAAGTCGTCATCTTGCTATCAATCTCAGTGTGAATGGCAACTTCAAACACGACTCACAGTCTAAGTCGTATAATCAACTGTATTTTCGACTTCAGACCTGATCCCAAAGTTTTTCGCGCTGGCTGCATGTAATTCGGACTCTGTCAGGCTTCACTTCTCGTCCAGGTTTCAGAGCCGGTTCCGTGATCCATTCAAGTTTTACTCCTAGTCCTGCACTCATTCAGGAGTTTTACGCGGACTCGTACTCGTCTTTGTTTCAGCTGTGATCGAATTACTGGTTTCAGCTTGGATCTCAGTTTCAGACTACATTGGAAGTTTGTCGCCTTCTCAATTATAGTGTCAACTTCGGACTTGGCTACAGTTCTCATCTCGGATGTGTTTCGGGACGATTATCCTGACTACGTCTATGTATCGTCCTGGTTTTGATTAAAAGTCACGGAAACTACGCAGGTTTCAGTTTTAGTCGAATCATGGGTCTCAGCTTGAGTCTCAGATGAACAGTTGATCCCAATTTCAGTTGTGGTTGCACTATTGGTCGCTGCTTCAGAGAGAATTCAGAAGCCCGGCGTATTCTTAGCTGCAATGCCGATTTGGGATATGATTCTAGTGCTGATTTCGGTAACGGTTTTTGAGACGGATTCTTACCTTATTCTGATATTCTACCGAAAATCAGATTCGCTCAGTGTAGTTTTTATGCGGTATAGAGATGATACAGGTTTACACTCAATAATAATCGACAAGTCAAATCTAAATCATCATCGTTTTTTAAATTTTTTGTCAATTAGTCTATAATAAGAATAAAATTGATAGCGTAAAGGAATATATTGATGATTAATCAAAGCATGTGTCCATCAATAACAAGTAAGAAAGTGGAGACTATGCGCCTTATGTAGACCCAAATGAGCTATGAAAAATCTAAAAAGGGTTCGAGTAGTTAGCTTATTGCTACGGTGATATTGCACTTTTACGGTATTGTTTTTAATTAATACCGTGATCCTCCTCAGGAATACCGGAAACTTTACTTTCGAATTTCGACTTCAAATTTTACATAGAGATAGATCTTGATCAGAGTATTTTGATGTGAGTGTTTCAGATTTTGTCGTTGTCCCTATTCTCAGATAGAACTATGGCAATAGCGTGTATTTTACATAATGGATATGAGCCAGCAGATTTAATGGCCTCATTTCAAGATAGAAGTAAATGAAAAGATCTAAAACTTCTAAGATAAACTATTCTCATTAATATATATCCCAATGTAAAATTTCAAGTCGAAATTCAAAAGTAAGTTTTCTCGTATTCTTGAGGGAGACCATGGCATTTATTAAAAACAATATCGTAAAAGTGCAATATCTCCGTAGCAATAAGCTAACTGCCTGAAATCTTATTTGATTTTTCATAACTCATCTGAATCTACATAAGGTGCCTAGTCTTCACTCAAAAGCGATTGAACAGTTGGTGACCTTCCCTCGTTAGTATAAGAGTAGCTATATATGTCATACTGCGATTAGTTAGCTTTTCAGAATATTAGCAATATCAATTATATAATCATGATAATAAATATTTTATTTATTCAGACAGGAAGTGTTACATAAACACGATACAAAAAGATGGTTATTGTCTGAATAAAATATATAAATAAGATGAGCTGAGAATCTATTAATATGGTGTGAATGTTCACTTCCAGATGTTGGTGTAGTTATTGGATATGTGGGCGCTGTTGTATTCTTCAATCAATCAGCCACTCACAATCCATACGTATGCGCACACCAAAAGTGACATTTCGCTTTAGATCTACTCTAGCACATAAATGCTCGTTGATCATTTTGTCTTGACGGTGCACCTATGCATTTAAGCGTTTCAGTTTCGTTCAACTCTTCGATTCAGTATTGTGTAGACAACACTTTTTGTTTTATATGAAGTAGAGCAAGTGTCGAACGATTTTGATGAATATATGCTGGCTCTGTAGAACACTATCAGAAAGTATTCTTTGAAATTCATCTGCTTCGTCACAGCCGTAATACACAATATTCGATTTCTTCTTCTTGGATGTGTATGTCCATGATTCACAGGTAAACTTGTATTCTCTTGGGAATTTGTATTCGTGGGTGGCTGATTTTTGCTATAGAAGAACGAAAAAAACAAGAAAGGGAAATATTTATAATATTATGTCATACTATAACAACATGATTCACTTACAAGTTTTTTTTCCTATGATTATGACGTAGAATAATCAAAAACTATACTACTTCTGTCCACAGTTCATTACCTATAAAACGGAGCTATTATAGGCACAATCGTTATTTGATATAGTTACGTTGAAAAAGAAACCCTAACGTACAGTCCTTTGTCAGTCAAGATAAGTAAGTAAATGTTTTACTTGTATTTGCATGGAAGTTGATGGTTGAATTTGCAATCAAGAATTCAATCGAAAGAGTGCGATATCACGTGTTTTTTCTTTCTTTCTTCTTTTTAACAATATTTTTCAATGAGTTGAGTTCTTTTGCGAAAGAAATGCCAGTGTTTTTGTCAGTTCGAGTAGGCTTGATTACAAAACCGTAAAATCAACATTTCTTCGTGGATGACGTTTGCCATAAAATATTGTCTTTCTCAGTTCTGCATATTCTGCATGTGGAAAACAAAGAATGCCAGTATTTGTTAGAAACTGATTATTCATAAAAAAGATATTAGTTATCTAATAACACCGTTTACTTAACGTAGGATTGGAATATCATTATCATTTGAGAGCAAAAATAAACAATACTTGCAATTCTCGTACAACATCATGGCTATGGAAATTGTATCCCATTTGGTAAAATTAATGAATGAATCATCTGATAATAAAAATGTCAATGTATATTTGTTATTTAAAGCAATCGCTAAAGATTATTATATTGATTCCGTACGAATCAGCCATTGGCAAGTAGTTTGTCATTTTAAAGATAAAAATCGATACAAATGTTACGAATTAAAAACAGATACTGGTGATATAGAAGGTCGTATTATTTATCGAATTTCCAATTTCAATTTTTATGGTCATATCTATTACTATTATATTGGGCAGTGTAATACAACTGAAGCAGATTTAGAACGGAAGTGTGAGAAGATTAATATCAACAATCAACATTATATGTTAGGTTTTAGAGACTGTCAAACATGGGCTAGATTATTAATTGAAAGTTTAGAATTGTCCGTTAAAGGGGCAGGACCATTTCTAATGAAATATTTTCCTGTTTCCAATGTTGGATGGAATTTATATCCTGAATGCACAATGCCAGGAAGAGTTGTTGATTTCGTCGTTGAACAAGAACCTGTATTAAAGGCTTGGTTATCACAAGTAAAACATTGTCGTGGATATAAAAGCTTGAAGTGAAAGCAATCAACACTATCAGCAATAGTCTTAGTTTAAAAATGAATTCCTTTCTGACTTCTGACGAATGTTTTGCTTATGAAACTTCAATGCTTTTTTTTCTTTTCTTTTTGTGAATAAAGTTCAAGTATACTGTATCTACCAAACACTTTGACAATCGTTGAAAATTGTACAGCAAGTTAACAGCCAATTCGCCTCATAATCTAGATCACAAAACAAAATATAATAAACCATAGACAATTTAATGAGCTCTATATAGTAATGAATTCAGATCTGCCAAAGACTATGATAGATCCATACGTTGAAGGTGACGATAAAGAAAAGATCTTCACTTTCATTCACTATTCTTAAGATAAAACTTTATTCCTAATAATTGGTTAAAAAGTAAAGTAAGCCGACATTTTTATTTGAACTGAGGATAAATTTGAAATCAGACAGTCAGAATTGATGCGTGATTGCCTAATTTTCAGGTTGAGAACAGGCTTATAATAGAAAGGACAAAACACCAGAAGAACACTGATTGAATTACATTCTAAAATATCAAAGATTTTCCAAAAAGATGTCCTATCATTCTTCGTTGTCTTAATGCTAACTAAGATAAACTCTTCAAAAGAAAAGAAAATCCAACAGTAACATACTGCTTTTACATCAGCACAGATGTGGAGAAGAGCTTTTTATTTTGATAGATTTCAGCATCATGTATGCTAATCAAACAGCTCATTTAGTTCGCTCTGACCCAAGAACATTCTACTAGCAATAGTAAATCCGATATTTTGAGTACAAACCGAAATTTGAACAACATCAACGTTTTTGTCAGCAAGAGCAATCGTACGTTTCTTCCTCAAACAGCTTATCCGAAGAGTACTATACCGAGTCCATTCGTAGCAGTCGATGTTTATCATGACAGTAAATAATATCATCGTTGGAAACTATGATTCATACACTATTGGTGTTCTCCTCAACACAGGGAAAACAACGTTTTTTTCGTCAATAAATCATTTAGTTGTTGCAAACATTACTTCAGACACTGTGGGAGTTAACCTCGATGCAGACATCAGCACTTTTCTTAGTCAAACATTTTGCTTCACTAGCATTGATCCATGCTCAGTAACAGTGTTCGATGTCAACAGTGATATTAAACTTGACTATGTTGTTGGAAACTATAATTCGGACAACATTGATGTTCTCCTGAACACATTGAAACGTATTCACAAACTAAAATTTAATCGTTTTAATAAGATTTTACTTCCGACTGATAGCATTATTCCGATATAATTATTTAATTTATAAAGAGCAGATCATACTACTTTCTTTTTTGAAATAGTTTGTATATCAATAGTTTCGAAACTATTCGTCGAATAAATTTTAAAAATCACATTCATGGTTCAGAACTGTGGAGAGCTATTATAGCTAATATCAGGCATTTCAGTCTTGCTTAGAGGATCACTTCAAGTGGCTATAATAATTGGCACACATCTTGTTACTGCCCAGTCACAAGAATTCATTAGATCTGTTGAGGGTGAAGATGTCATAGCAAGCCTACTATCCCCTAGCATTATGCACTCTTAATTTTCCAACAATCAATAAACAGCAAGAAAATATTTGTGCATTCGTTCGACTATGTAGCAGATTATCAGAATCAAAATTTTCCTTCAGCAAAATCTTAACAAACGCAAAATCTTTACTACAGAACTTGTTCAATTGAAAACAATAACCTTATTTATTTATTCCAATTCTGATGACAATAGTAATAATCAAGAAAGTCAATGTAAAATAGAAGAAAAACTAACATTTTCAAACTGACAACAAGAAAAATAGAAGTATGTTGGTTAATAATGATAACGAATGTACTTTATTTGTAGGTGAATGAAAAAAAAAATATCCGTTTGTCTATTTTTTGGAATGTGTAGGTGCGGATGTTGCCTCTCAAACCACACTATTAGATTGCAATAAGCACTACTATAAGTCTCATCAATATTTTCATCAAACCATGCAAAAATGAAGTTTTCAACCATACAAACCTAAATTCATAGCACATTTGTACTTTCAATTAATGACCAGGCAGCCATTGAATTGTTTATTTTCGTATCATTTCGTGTGTTAGCTCAGTAAATAAAATAAATAATGATGGAGTTGAAAAATACTTGTTGATCATATGCTAGATTTTTCTTTTCTCATCTTAATCTGTGTCCTGTAAATATCTCCAATGAAGCAAATAAATATAAGAAACTTGTTATATTTTCTCTTCCATCTTTTTCCTGTCTCTGCTCAGACCTTCTCTCGCCCGTTCATTGTTCTGAATTTCACTGGTTTGTACTCATGAACAGACACTACCATGCTTATTTCAAAGTATGTAGGTACTCAAGGACAAAAAATCTGATAAGTTACACTTAACGAACAGTCTCAAAATGTGAGTATATAAGTTCATTCGTTTTTGAATTTTTTTTTGTCTCACATAACATTGTCCTATACGAATAAAAAAACGTATTGTTTCCATAGCTTTGTATTTATAAAAGAAAAAGAATATTTTACTACAATTTTAAAATCAATTGATGTCGAAAAGCTCTTTTGCAAAAAAAAAACAGTAAATTAATAAAAATGTCGTAATGTGTTTATTGTTTTTTTTTCTGTGCTAGTTTATTTCTACCATTGTGTTGTTGTTCGAAATATCGAATCTTAACGTATATTATGCTCTCTATCGTCACTTTAACACTTTGAATTTCTTTTTGATTAATAATTGCATCAACTCTTTAATAAAACATTATTAGAAACTGTGTGTAAACATAACAATATCTCATGGAAGCTATTTAATCAAAAAAAAAATTATTTAATAGATATGATACGCCGATCAATAGAAAGTAAAATCGTGCAACAGGTATGCACTGAACTCGAAGTTTTATATCCGACCTTGACTGCGGTCATTTTCAGTTTAGTAATGAAAGGGGAGTATGAGTAAGAACTTAAAAGTCAGCTATGGTAGATCAACATACAGTGAAAAAAAAATAATTCGAAAACTGAAGGGCTACAGACATCCTCAAAGAAAGTCAATGATGTTCAGAAATATTTGAGTACGAATTTGACCGAGTCTTATAGTATTTCTACGATTACTCGTATCGCCCAAAAAATGTATGACCAATTATCTAAGTACTCGACACTTGCAAAATTATTTAGATAATTTCCAAATATTGAACTAGAGTTCGAATTCGGTGCATGTCTATTCTCAAAGTTTTTCTCTTTACTTCGTTATCGTTTTATCATAAGAGTAATTATATAACTCATACTTCGATTAGTTATCTTTTGAAATTACTAGCTATTTCAATTACATAATCGTAATATTAAATATTATATTTATTCAGAAGAAAAACATTGCAGAAACACGGTACAAAAAGCTGGTTATTGTATGATTAAAATATATATGCGTTAAACGTTATAGATATAATATTCACAAAATGTTTTTATTATTATTGTGATCCGACAGGTTTTGTTGGATTAAGATGACCTGGTAATCTACAAATTTAATGTCAATGTCCACTTCCAGGTGCACCTGGTGCTTTTGTTTTTTGAGTTAGATTTTGAGTTGGTGTTTGACGATCAAGATTAGTTTCTTCAAGTTCATCACGAATCATTTTTTCTAAACGTTCATGTTTCATTTCTTTACTCATTTTATCATCCTAAAAGAAAAAAAGAAAGAAAGATTTTTTATTTTTCATATTATTTTTATTTTCAACTTACTTCTGAAATATTATTCAGAATTTTTGTTAATGCTTCACGTCGTTTTATTTTTCCTTTTTCTAATAATTCTAATTTTGTTAAAACATTATCAATCTAAATTTTAAATAAAATTCATTTTTGAAAATTTTAAATATAAGAAAATAGAAAAAGATCGTTACTCTTGAAACAATATTTCCAATTGAATATTCCATACGATCAATACGTCGTACTAATATAGCAAATTCATCATATGTTATACGATTTGCATTATCAGTTTCATTGTCATTATTTCCAGTTGCTACTTGACCATTTGATTGTCTAGATTAATTTATTTCAAAATTTAAAAAAAGAAACGTTAACCTCTAAGTTTTCTTACTGAACAACATGAGAATCATTTAAATCTTTAATATCCATATCTAAATTATTTTCTTGTGCAGCTAAATCAGCTTTGAAACGACGTTGTTCATTATCACGAAGTACACGATCACCATCAGTATCATAACGTGAAAAAACATTTTCAATTTCAACATCAGTATAACCACGAGCTTTTAAATTTCGACGCCATTCATCAAACTAAATTCAATCTAATCATTTTATTTCATATCAAAATAGAATACTTACTTCAATTACACCATCTTTATTTACATCAGCACTTTTTAATGCATTTTGTATATCAATAATACGCTAAAATAATAAACAACAATAACAAATATATTATTTCATACAAGTTGTCAACTTACATCTCGTTTAACATTTAATCGATCAAGCATTCTTTCATATGATTTTTTAAAATAATCACCTAATTCAAATTCAGATTTTTGTGTTGTCATATCACTTTTAACTTCAGAATATGTATCATTAATAATAGCCAAAAACATATTCAATAATACAAAGAATACGAAAAATACATATGTTAAAAAGAATATTGGACCAAGAATACGATGAGCAGTTAAAATTGCTAAAACAAAAAAGAAATATAAATAATACAAGAAAAGAATATTTTCTTTTTTCATTTTACCATTAAAATCAAAATCACCCAAAATAATACGAAATAAAGTAAAGCTAAAAAAAAATATAATTACATATTTAAGATGGATTAAAATATAAATTTACATTGAAATTGCAAATGTTTTATAATCATCAACCATTGTACCAAATAATAAATAACCCAATTGTGCATATGCCAAAAAAACAATCATAAACATAACACTAAAACCAAGTACATCTTTTGCACAACGTGACAATGTTGTCGATAATTGTGTCATTGTTTTATTGAATGATACATATTTGAAAATCTAAATATTTATTGAAAAAAATCCGATCTGCAGTTATATAGAAGAACGTGGCCAAAACAATCTACTGCTGTTCACATTGGCACCATCTTGACTAAGTTGACATAACGTGAATCAAGGTAGTGCAAGATTGGCCCAAGTGGTGCAAGGCTATTCAAGAGACAGGCACTCAAAAGTTTCGATTCATTTTTGTCTAGATAAAAACGATTCTCATAATTATCGGAATGCATGATAGAAAAATTTGGGTGTCACTATTCAGTCGAGCGTTTTAACAATCCCAAAAATCTAAATCCCCAAATTTAGATTTGGGGTCATATTTTTTATTAATCTTCCAGTTTTACCATCTATTGTACAATTCATTTGATTGTTTTCGATTTACTCGTCAACAGTAAACTTCCTTCTATATTTATAGCATATCAGATTATCAAAGCAACTAATGTTGTGTAAGAAAAAAAGAAAAATTTTATGATGCGAATGAGTTTGAGTGCATGCCTATGAGTCATTCTTTTTGGGATGTCTTACTTTAATCCATGCAAGAAAAACAGCAAATGCGACAATATTATTAAATTGTATTTGCCAATAAGTAAGAAATGCAAAATCCGCAAAACTATTTTGATTTTTTAATAATTCATCAAGAATTTGTCCAACTTTGATTTGACGATAGACATTAAATATAATACAAATATATGAAATTAATATGATTAATACATCAAGTACATTCCAAATTGATTTGAAATAATGCAATTTAAAATGTCTTATCTAAATCGAAACAATTGTTTTGATCTTAATCAACAACTAAAAACAAAACAGCAGAAATTTATTTATTTTTTTTTACTTACTTCAAGAGTTTCTTCCACTGTATAATAAACTGTAAAAATTGTAAATAATATTTCACATGCTAATACAAAATAATCCATTGATGAAACATACTAAAATAATGATGATTATATCTTTTCTTTTTTTTATTCAATTCGTACTTACACGAATTAATTTCACTGTCGAAAATGATTTTGATGGTACAGCACCACCTGATGCTGGAAATTCAATTGTTAATTTAATTTGACAAAATAAATTAATATTTGCATTATATACTGTAAAATCCAAAAATACAACACGTGTACCACGATCAATCCATAAATTTGCATTTAAATCATCTAATTGAGCTTTAGCATCATGATAATTTGGTGTTAAATCTTGTACAAAACCTCCACCACCATATCGAGATATTAATCCACTTGCGGATGAACCTTTAAGTTGACTTGATGTTTGATAATACCATCTAAATATTTTAAATGATAACAAAAAAAAAATACAAATGAAATATAAAACAAAGAATTCATACGCGTGCGGTGTTAATGTATCATTTTCTGGTACATAAGAACTTCGATTTTCTTTACTAGTACTATATGGTCCATAGCATTCACGTATTGATGTTTGAAATTTTTGATGAACAGTACATGAATGATTGGTAACCTTGAATAAAAACGAGAAAAAAATATTTAAAAGAGACAAGAAAAAAAAATAATAAGGTTTTATTTACTCGAAGTTGTCGAAGTCGTGGTAAACCAAGAATTTTATTTTCAAATAAAACATAACCATATTGACCTTCTGTTAAATTTTCTCCATTATACCATTTTTGATCAAATAAACCATTAAGAACAGGTCCACTTATAACCTAAACATTCTAATGTATATATGACAAAATTATTTTATAATTTAATCTTACATTCCAAAAATCATCAAAACTTGCAATATCATCAAATGCTGGTTGACTACCAATACCTTCAACCTTTCGTTCAGTAAAAACTGTACGTAAAACTGTTGTAAAATAATATGTTTTTGTTGATGTCATACCAAATGTAACTTAAATTTAAAAAATTTCAGAATAAGAATATTAATAAAAGAAGAAGAAGAAGAAGAAAGAATTCATTTTAAACAAAAAAACATCATCATTCTTTTACTTGAAATGATTTTTTTTTCTTTTAGTTTAAAAGAATGTTTGTGTACTTACTGATGCATAAAATAGTGACGAAAATTAAATAAAGAATAAGTTCTCGTATTGTTGTTTTGATGTATAAATCTTTGTTTTTTCGAAGATCTTTTTCTGTTTGTCGTGTTGCCCAAAGAGCTAAATATTATGTATTATATATGTAGAGAAAAAATATACAGAACTAATTAGTAAAAAATATAAAACTAATATATGTTTGATTCATTTTCTATTGTTATCAAACATTTAACTCAAATTTAAATCGCAATTGGAATACCGAACAAAGTTCTCTATCAAATATATTTCATAGTTAAAATTTATAGATGGAATATAAGAGAAGAGCTTCTGAAAACCTAAACACGCAAGTTTTCAGGTTCAAGAAGATTGTGTGAAAATTAGTTTTTAAGAGTATCCTTCTAAAGAGCAGGAAGTTCTGAATAAAATGAGAGGGCCACAATATCTCCTAGAAAAATTTCCTTTAAAAAGTTTTAAGGATTACCAAAAACCAAACCAGTACGCTTTCTAGCAATGCTATGATAAATTTTGCTGTATTTTTTTCTATTTCTTCTGATACTTATAACTGTTTAAGAGAAGGTTCTACGAAATGCGACCCTCTCTCGTTTTATTCAGGATTTTATGTCCTTTAAGATAATACTCTTAAAAACTAATTTTCACAAAATTTTCTACGACTTGAGAACTATTGTATTTGTTTTTTCAGACGTCTTCTTCTTATAGTTCATCTATAAAATTTCAGCATAGAATACATTTGATAGAGAACTTTAGTTAAATGCTTGATATCGTAGAAAAAAATTAAAAAGTACATTAGTCTTATAGTTTTGACCAGTACTATATTATGAATATTTACAACGAATGCCACGAAGAATGACTCGACCAGTATTTTGCTTTGTAATTGGATCATGTCGATATGGTTCTGGATGTGTCCGACATTTATCTTTATCATCTGGTTTAACAATAAAAATATTTGAACCCATTGGACTTTGCCCATTACTGTTTTTAATTCCAGTTGGTTCCTCATCAAATGTCGGATTGGAATAGGATGTTGGCATTGTTTTGTTTGTAGCGCTCATATTAATGTTTTTCTTTTGTTATTCACTCTATAACACTTTCTAATATGATATTGAAAAAGAATTTTTCTCACGTCTATCTACTTCTTTCTTTTTTTGTTGTTGACGTAAACTGGCTATCTCCATTGAGAAATGTCGTTTCTTATATATAGAAGAATTACTTTTCTTTTAGTTGTTTGATTTTCTCTGTCTTTGTTTTACTTTTTTTTCATCTACTAGTGTGTTCTAATTAACGAGAAAGTAGCAGCAAGAGAATATATTAAAAAATAAAATTATTTTTCTAAAGACCATGAACGAGCTTCTTTCAACAGAATAACACTTGATAAGACTAGCTACTATTGTCGTTACTCAAAAGAAAATAAAAGAACTACGTCAATGGGAATAAACATTATTTAACAATTCCTTAGTGAATTCTTGGTAAAAAAAAAAAAAAAATATTTATCATGATATAGAACAAATGAAAGAATATAAATTAATCCGGAAAACAATGGAATAGGTATTTGTTCGTGACAAAAATGCATTTTTTCGACAAAAGAAAAAAGAAGAAAAATTCTAATTTTAATTCACTATGTAACAATATTTTTTTCTGTACTGAAAATTAGATTAGATTTGCCATCAACTGTACTAAAGTGTAAAATAAGAAACCAAATAATTAATTTTTCTTTAAAAGCTTTTTCTTTTTGAAAGCATTTGATGGTCCACTGAATTACCTAGTTGCTGCTGTCAAAAAAACATACGTATATACGTGAACCATCTAACGATTTGAAATTCCGGATTTTATTTAGCAAGAGCATGTTAAATGATGATGATGTATCAGATCATGTTTTTCTTTTCTCAATCTGAAAAGTCTTTACAATTTATTGATAAAAACTAACTAATGGAAAATTATATTTTTTGGTATTTTGATTGTAAAATTTTACACCGGAAACAATAGAAATGATACTAACTTTTTCAATTATATATGTCACAGCTGTAAAAGAAAAGCAATGGGAAATTCACATATGTTCTTCAGCCTCAGTACAACAGGTGAGTCATAATAAATGCCTGCGTTTTGTATTTTACTTTTTCATCATCTAATACATTTTATTAAAAAAGAAAATATAGAATAAAGTACAGTGTAAAAAGGTCTACAATCTACAATATAAAGCTGATTTTATATATAAACTTTGAGATTTCAAAATATACAAAATTTTTGTATCACCAAATTTTAGTGCTATGAAAAAGCTTTTTTTTTTTACGATGAATTCCTTTTCTTATTGCTTGGATTAAATATTCATATAAAAAACCACAATCAATAGCTTATTTTAGATCAATTGTAATCTATTTCGATTACATCTGTTTTTACTCATTCTGATGTTTTTTGTTACAGGAAAACACGAACTTCATAACAACGAATCATATCTTAATAAGTATGCTAGCTATTAAAAAGAAATGAAATCTGAAGACCTACGGAAAGTGTTTATCCGAATGATTGATGACTATGGGTGTGTAGATGAGAATGTACCCTCTGACCACTCACAAGTTGAAATGAAAAAAAAAAAAGAAATTCATCTTGTAGCAAATAAATAACTTTTTCACCGCATCAAAATTTAGTTACACAAAATTCTGTCTATTTTGAAAGCTAAAGGTGCGTATAAAATATAAGCTTTATATTGTAGATTGTAGAGCATTTTACGCTACACTTGATCGTATATTTTATTTTTTTGGTAAAACGTATTAGATGATGAAAAAATAAAATGCAAAACACAACCTTTCAGTATGGCCCGCTTATTACAAAATTAAAATACGTGAAATGAAAAAACTTGGGTAGACTATAGTTATTTTCCAAAGGATTATCGATCGCCACAGAAATGCTCGGCTTTGTATATTTCTGCATTTCGAATAGAAACTTATTTTCACCAGTGCTCTATTTGCTATTTACTGTGTTGTTGTTATTCTCTCGATTTCTTTTAGTTTCTTGTTCCATTTTACTCAATTTAACATTTTCTAAAAGAACCTAATGCTGGTTATTAATGCCATGGAGCGCTTTATTTCGTTGCTAAGGAATTCTGAGATAAAAGTCTAACGCCTATTGTCCGATTTATAACTCACACTCACTATTTTCTTCAAAAACATATGTGACTTTCACAAATTGTCAGAACATCAATTGTTCAAATGAAATCAATTTTAGATCTTTTTCAAAAGATAGAAGAACTTATAAATATAATTAGATACAAATCATGTTTTAAACAATAAAGACGTAGTAATGGTCACAAAATATATGCTTATTTTTTATGCTTACTTCTAGTTTTGCTATTTTATATATAATAGTTTTTCATAGACTTATAACTGGCTTTCATATGTGTCTTGTGATTTGTGACCTATACGAACTATGAAACTATTGTTTTCAATATAGTGTGACTCTATTATTTGTATGAAACCTGATTTTATTTAAGTTTTAATGGATATGATTTTGAAGTATTGGAAAATCTAACCATATTTTTTTCTAATGGTTAAAGATCAATTATCTAATGATTTATTGATATTGTTTCTTTTTTGACGTACAGAATACTATGATTTTTGTTTTAACTCGTTTGGTAAATTTTGTTTTTGGTAATGTATATAGTATCATTTAAAGTCAACAGAGATTAGAATTTCATTTGAGACAATAAAAAAAGTTTATTATCAATACGAGATTATACTAAGTGATAATTTTTTATCTGATAAGATAATTCGATAGATACATGAAGAATAAAAAAAACAGTTTTTTTTTTTTTTCCTGATCATTTTTCTGATTGACGGGTAACTTTCTACGAATATTTGTTGTTTGAATTGCATTCATTCTACTGTCTTTAATTATTCAAGATTCACAAAATAGTATTAGAATTGATTTGAATTTGATTGACTGAAAAATGAGCTCCGACATTTATACAAAGACTTTCATGACATTTAGCAGAGAGTATTCATGTTCCAATCATTCAATAGAATTGATCTTTTGTTATTTGCATTGTATGAAGTGCTTGAGATTCAAATCTTCTTCTATATAACGATAATCTTTACTAATAACTCTTATTATTATAAATAGAAGTGTATTATACGAAGTAATGTATTCTTTTTCTCTTTTACTATTAAAAAAACGAATAACCTTCGCATTTTTTAAAGGAAGAAAAGATCCCTCTTCTTCATAGGCAAATAGACCGGCAAAGAATCCTATGTGTAATTTAATCCTCACGTCTTCAACGAAACATATGATGTGCTTGACTGCAAATATACATTCATTCTTGCCGTCGTCAATTTATCCGGTCTTTCAACTTTATCTTTCGAGTACAAATAGGCTGTTCGTTTTTTTTTTTTTATTTTATCGATTGATGACAAAAAAAAAACGAAAAAGGATTTTTCGTCTTTTTCTTGGTGTCTCTTCTTTTTCATTTTTTTTTCGAACTTGCCTATTTGCTTTGGGTAAATGCATTCGATATGCATCTAACGAATACTATCATGATTTGCGGTAATATTTTGTGTTTCCTGTGAAGTATGAGGACATTTTAATCTTTTGTATTCTTATGCATTCATTTCATTATGTACAGGTCATAAAAGATCATTCTCATGGTCTACAATGTTATAACCTCTTGAAAAAAAAAACCTTTATCAATAAGTCTATATCATATTTTAATAGATACAAGGTGAGTCACTAGGAAAAAAACGCAGAAGAAAATAGTTTGTTCAAATTTGATGATGATGTATAGTACACAGATTAAACATATTAGCATTGAAATGTGAAGGGGGAATTTATAATATAAAGTCTTCTCTGTACGTTGCTGTTTGACGTCCTAAATTCGAAAGTAAACATGTACATCGAGAATAATAGTACGAGACAAAAGTGTAATTGAATGTGATGTAATCATTAATGCAAAAATCTATGTATGTCGTGATCATCTTTCGTTGTCTTTGTTTCAACCAAAATAAGGTAATGGTAAATGTAAAGAATAAGAAAAAAAAATAAAAGAGAAAAAAAAGAATGGCATTGACTTGTCCTTTATGATGAGAAACAAAGTAAACTGGTTATGGTGTAAGCCTTGATTTTAATACGATAGAAAAAAAAACTATACTAAAATATTAATCGTCATAAAAATTAGAAACTTATTTTTATTTTTTGATTAAATTATTTCATTGAATCAAATATATAATTATGGATATATTGGGTTTTGCAACGAAATTAAATGCTGGAAAACATCATTCAGTTCAAAATGATGACGTATTTATTGATCGACTTAATCATCGATATACAGTAACAATGATTTTAGTTTTTGCTGCTATTGTTACAACTCAACAATATTTTGGTTCACCTATAACATGCTGGGTAAAATATTTGACTTGATTGATGTATATATATATATATGTTTTTTGGATGTTGATTTATTTTAGGTACCTGCACAATTTACTGGTGGTTACGAAAAATATGCGAATGATATATGTTGGATAATGAATACATACTATGTTCCTATGGAACATGATATTCCACATGCTGAAACAACGCGATATGAACGTAAGTTTTTTTCTTTTATTTCGAATTATTTTACATTTTTATGTTTTATTTCTAGGCATGTTGAAATATTATCAATGGTCGCCATTTATTCTTCTATTTATGGCTCTTTGTTTTTATTTTCCACGTATGCTTTGGAGATCATTGAATAATAGATCTGGTTTAGATATTGAAAAATTAGTTGAGGCAGCTTTAAAACAAGAACAAGCTGTTCAACGTGAAGAACGACAGAAAACAATTGATCATATTTCAAATGCAATACGTGTCTATATTGAAAATCGGTATATTAATCCAGCACAATCTGATCATCGTCCAAAAAACTTTTTTCAAAAATTTTGTTATTCTCTAACATTTTGGCGTCATCGTCATTTAAGTTCATTTATAGTTATATTATTTACATTTGTTAAATTCTTATTTCTTTTTAATTCATTAGTACAAATATTTCTTTTAAATGCTTTTTTGGGTAATGATTATCATTTATTTGGTTTTGAAGTTATTGCAAAATTTATTCGTGGTCTCGATTGGGGTGAATCAAAACGATTTCCACGTGTTACATTATGTGATTTTCATATACGCGAAATAGGTATTATACATCGATATACAGTTCAATGTGTTTTACCAATAAATTTATTTAATGAAAAAATTTTTCTTATTCTTTGGTTTTGGATATTACTCTTAGCAGCTTTCAATATAGGTGATTTTATATCATGGCTATTACGTATTGTACGTGTTGATAGTCGTTCAGCATATGTACGAAGAAAATTAGCTATGAATCGTCCATCAATGAATGAATCTACTGATGAATTTACTAGTCCAGAACAGTTTAGATTAAATGAAAAAGTTCGTAGTAAAGCTTTTGTTCGTGATTATTTACAAGAAGATGGCTGTTTCGTACTTCGTCTCCTTGCACGTAATGGACAAGATATTATTGTTGGTGAAATAATTGATAAATTATATAAAGATTTTTGTACAATCTATGAACATGAACATATCAATTCTGATCGAGAAATGATCTTACGAAAATCTAATCAACATCATTCATCATTACCACCTGTTTTACCACGACCAAGACAATTTGAAACCTTAAATCATGATGATGATCATCGACAGCTAGTTTCACAAACAAATACGTGATGACCATGAATCTCCTTTCGTTCTTTTTTTTTTCTTTTTCTTTGTCGCTTATGCGATACATGTGATATGATATCTAATGAATGTTTAGACCAGTTTGAGAATGAATTAATATTAAAAAGAAAATTTTCTATTCAATGTGCTGCTATTCAAGGTTATTTTATTACTGACATTTAAAACGAACATAGCAAAGTTTCGTTGATAATACCTTGAAAAAAGACATCAGATTTTCACACATTGATTAGCATTCTATTGTCAAGGTAGTATTAGACACGATAGATAAATTTGAAAAAGAATCGATAATTTATTCTTTTAAAATGAATTTTATCATTGATAAATATATACATGTTTGCTCAAGTGTTCAACTGATTAGAAAAAAACATAAATTAATCTATTAAATACCTACTATGTAAATCATTATTGTGCCAACCGTTACAAAATCATTAAACTATTAAGACCTGTCATGATTTTTTTATCTCGCAGGTTATTGTATAGATTGATAGAAAAATATATTTAACTTAGAATTACCATATATTCAAGGACGATATTCTCTTTCATGGTATTAAATCAATATGAAAATTCAAAATTGATTTACTTCTAACAATGTTGGTCTAATTTCGAATGATACTTTTCTTAATCTTTGAAAATCAATAAACGAAGTAAATATTCATTTAGAGTCTATTAATAAATGACATTACATTTCGATGATAAATGTAGACCTTGGTTTTCAATAGTAATTGTAAAGTCATATTTATGTCATCATTTTTATATATGTATATATATATACGAAACAGTGAAGAAAGATAACAAATACACATATAAGGTATTCTGATTCCATTTCCATTTAAACAAAAAACAAAAAGACCCGCACAAAATGCAAACATAGATAACTCAAATACTCTCTCTCTCTCTCTTTCATAACACTTATATGCATCGACTAGGATGTATATTCGCGTTTCTTTAAGAAAAAAAAAAATCGCTGCCCCCAAAATTAATACATAAATCATTCACAATAGAAGAAGAAAAAAAAACAAATGACCAGAACACACGACAATTCGAATATGAAATACAGTTCATTCCTTATTCACCTAGGCAAAAAAGAGAGAGCGAGAGAAATAAATATACAATTGCGTCATTTTCAAACAACAATCAAACGAAACAAACAACAATAAAATAATACATAAGATATTGCGCTACAAAACTCACGACAAGAAAAAAAAAAACAAAAAAAAAAAGGAAACATCAATCACAAAAGAAAGACTTGTTTGGCTGTTCATTCTCAATCTTATTTTGATTATTCGTTTTCTTCTTTCAAATACTGTTCGAATAGAGAAAAGAGAAAAGAAAAGAACTCACTGCAATGTTTTTTCAAAAACAAACAAACAAACAAATAAATAAATGACTAGTTTTGTATTTAAGCATGAACAGGTGATGATACATTCGTAAGTAAATTATGTGTTGATTGATGATGATTTTCTACTTCATCTTCTTCATCAACATCATCATCATCATTTTCTTCATCATCATCAATATCATTTGAACTTTCTTTTTTTGACATATTCACTGGTTCTTGATCATCAATATTTGATGATTTAATTATTAATTGAGAACGATTAATTGGTTCTAATTTAACTTTATTTGGTACAAATATTTCATTATGTTGTTGTTGACTTGATAAGGCATTAGAAAATAATGGTTGTGTTACTGTTGTTGTTGCATTTGCTGCATTTAATGATGAACTTGCATTAGTAGTCGTTGTTGAAAGATTATTATTTGGTATACGTGAACGATGACTTGAACGCAAATGAGAATACCAATCTTTTGGTATAGGAAATGTTTGATTACATAATTCACAACGATGTGGTCGTGTACCAGAATCATGTGTTTTTACATGACTGTTAAAATTACCTATTGTTCGATAACTCTTCAAACATAATGGACATGCATATGGTTTTTCGCCCTAAATAAAATAAAGTTTGTTTTTGAATTGAACTAATAAATGAAACAGTTAGTATAATTAAGCATGTAATGAAATCGAGAATAGATCAGAAAGTTGTTTAAGTTCGACTATTTACGATAATGAGAACGATCGAATACGGAAGTTCAGGTTCTCAATAGATGCCTATGTTGGATAGATAGAAGAAATTATTCTTTTTTCTTTCTCTTGGCATCTGCTGGATTGTTGTTACTAAGATGTGGTTTTAGTTGAATTCAGAAGTTTATAGAACATGATTTGAAAATATTTTTTATCATTTCTTTATTAGCATGAGATATATGTGTAACCCAATTGTTTTTTTTAGTAGTGTTTCAGGCACTTTCTTTTTCTGATAGTCTATGAAACTTTCTATTTTCTGTAAATTTTGAAGACATTGCAAAATAATACAATGTATAGTAAGAAATCACTTAAAGGATTTTATTTTATATGCTTCAAATGCTGTTCTTAAACGTTAAATAAATTAATAAACGAATCGTATTAAAAAGGATTTGATAGTATAATATGATCCTTGATTGTTTTGCTGAACAGTAAAGACTTAATTTCAAATATGATTGTATTAAGAAATAGTCAGGTTGTTAAATGAGATCAACCTATTGACACATTTGAAATCTAGAATTATCTGCTTTACTACAAAAATTAGTGGTCTTTTTTTTTTTTTGGATCAAATACAAAAAACTCAAAGATCTTATAATTTTTGCTTTGTCATATTCAATTTCGTAGAGATTTTTTCCATTGATCATGTTGATAAAAAGATTTCCATATTTTTCATCAAGAAATAAAGATATTACCATAGTGAATGTACTAAATTTAAGATAATCATGTACTAATTTAGTTGTCAGAAGGGTGCTTTGTTACCAATATGTCACAAGATTATGGTTAAGTACCCTGCTGAGAATTGTTTCAGTGCATATGAAGTATTTTGTAGTCAAGTGCTAGAAAGTCCATAAAGTACACAAAAGTTTCTTTGACATACTGATAACTAAGTACTCTTGTGGACACCATGAACTCAGTAGATTCTCTCGGAGTCAAAATACTGAAAAATAATTAAACTGCTCTAGAGCAACAGAGTAATTTAATTTTTTTTTCACTGAAATGATCAATGAAAATACTTCTACAAAATAGAATGTTTCANGTGCTTTGTTACCAATATGTCACAAGATTATGGTTAAGTACCCTGCTGAGAATTGTTTCAGTGCATATGAAGTATTTTGTAGTCAAGTGCTAGAAAGCCCATAAAGTACACAAAAGTTTCTTTGACATACTGGTAACTGAGTACTCTTGTGGGCACCATGAACTCAGTAGATTCTCTAGGAGTCAAAATACTAAAAAATAATTAAACTGCTCTAGAGCAACAGAGTAATTTAATTTTTTTTCACTGAAATGATCAATGAAAATACTTCTACAAAATAGAATGTTTCAAAAAAAAAAAAAAAAAAGTTTCGCATGTTTTTGTGTCTTTATAGTTAATTACCTATTCAAGTAATCTACTGCAAAATTACTTGTAATCATGTAGGTCTATCAAGAATTTTCTGTAGATAAACATTCGAGAGAATCTTGTGAAGTTTCAGAGAAGCAATATGAACTAGCGAGAACCCAAAGATTACAAATAAATTATTTTTAATGATTGAGAAAATTTTTATAACATGAAAATTTGAAAAAAATATTACAGAAGTTTAAAAAGTATCGTTTATCTTTGCCAGAAAGTCTCATTTTTTTTTTTCTTTTACCCAGATAATAATACTTTTAAGGAATGTGAATAAACTTTTTTTTTTTTTTGCTTATAAATAAAAACTTTTGAATTCTCTTTTATCATTAAAAAAAAGAAGAAATGAACTCATTCTGTCAATATAGAGTAAAGATATTCTATTCTTTTTCTTTTGTAGATTATTTCTAGGACACTCAGTAGTCGACCGGGTGTAATCAGAAGATTGTGATTTGTAGAATAGTACCCTACGATCTTGGAGGAAATCCATGACATGCTGATACCAATAATAGTTATTATTAAGTTTGTCTTTCTTTTGATGATAGAGCAGTGTATAACCTATTCTATCCTTGGTCACGCAACTACTGATAGGATAAACTATCATGTAATACACTGTCAATGACTTTAGTTTGTAAAACATTATCTCTAAGACAAAATAAATATTTCTACTGACAAAAAATGAATTGATTAACAGCAAAATATCTGAATTCTATTAGATAACTTACAGTATGAATTCGAACATGAATTTGAAGATCTCCAGAATTAGTAAATCGTTTTTCACAATAAGTACTAAAATAAAAAAAATGAAATTCGAATTTTATTTTCTTATTCAAAATTTTTAATCAATTTACCATGGATATGGTTTATCATTAGTATGTCGTCGAACATGAATTTGTATATTAGTAACAATTTTTTCACAAAGACCACATTGATATTTCTTTAGATTTCCTAATTGTTTTGCCATAAATACTTGTTTTTGTCCTGTTTGATTAATTGCTGTTATTGTTAAACCTTCAGCTGTTGGTGTTGTTGATATTGTTGATGATAATTGTTTATTAACATTTGGAATATTTGTTCCATTTTGTTGATGACCATTTATACTTATATTTGAACTATCATTACTTATATCACCAGTTGAAAGACCATCATCATCTTGTTCATCTAATGATGGTGAAAGTATTGTTGCAACATTTGTATATGTTGTAGGAACTGTTGATGATAATATATTATTTGTTGTTGTAGCTTCTAAGGCAGCTACAGCTGATGATGTTGGTTTACGACGTCCACGTGTTTTTGATGTATCTTACAAAAAAAATTCAATAAGATATTAAATAAATCAAAATAATAAAAAATTCAATTCACAGCAAACATGCTTCTCTCATTTTCAAACTCATGCTCTCTTACCTCAATCTATTTAGAATACTAACAATTATTTTATTGCCTATTTATAAAATAAAATAAATCAATATTCTTACTATGATCTGAAGTAACATCATTAATACCATTTGATAAATTAAGACCATTACTGCCAATATCAGATAAATTTTCTGTTCCCTATTAATCAAAAAAAAAATTAAAAAAAACTAACTAATGAATAATAAATTTAGATTAGAAGTGAATAGATTAGAAGTTCAATGCAAAGATTTCTACGAACATCAATACAACATTCTATTTTTAAGTATATGGACAAGTGATCATTAACGATTCTTATAACATCATAATTAACCACTTAAGATCGAGAGAGTGGAAAAAAAGTTATCACTTATTGATATCGATTCTTTCATAAAAAGTTCAAAGAAACGAATGACGGAAAAAAAAAAAATTTTTTTCTAAGATATCTATTTAAATTTTTATTTTCTAATTTGATCTAGATCGACCGAAGAATCCATATGTGAATGATATTGATAGTGTTATAAAATTCTCAATCATCATTTTGTTCTTGGAAAGAAATTTAAAAAAAAGTTAACTTTGAAAATATATTTATATTTAACAATGACTAACAGATTCAAAGTATTCGATTATGCGCATTGATCGCAGATGTTCCAAGGTCATCAGGATTGAGCATAGTTTTCAAAAATTGGTGAACAAAAAACAAAAGGAATAAAACGCTTGAAATTCCCTTAGAAAAAACACGAAAATTTTTCAAGATCGGATGTTCATCTTCACTCGGGACACCCGTAATTCTTTCAATATAATATACATGTAACTAGTGTTTTATCAAGATTTTATCTTTCGGCGAGAAAAACACAACTATTATTAGGAGTACAGACACATAGTACACGAACCACAAACTCCGGGAGAACTAACTCGATATTTTTTGGAGTGGCGGCGCCTCCACGCTAGATAACACACTGCATATAATAAGTTTAAAGATAGATATGATTAATTGTTCAATGAGATAGATCTGTGATATGCGTACTTTTCAAACCTAGTATAAACAAAGCATATACAACAAAAAGTCAAATGAATAGGCTAATACAAAAGAAGCTGTACTAAGTACAGATGACTACAATACTTGATTACTATGTTCATTTTAATTTGACTACTGTAATATTTCATTATATATTTAGAAACTGATAATTAAGGTTTTTTTTTAGTATAGTGCAATCGAGATTCTATTAACAATGCTTTTCTCTTTTTTGCTTTTAAAAATCAAACCTACGGATAATAGAGAGACGGCAATACGTTCAATATGATTGCCTTTCACCGAGTTGAATGGTCGACTATTTGTTAATGATGAAGAAGATATAGAACCGGGTGTTGTTAAATTAAGTGAACAAAGATTATTCATTGATGTATCAGTTGCAATATTCGGTTTAAGTAAATTAATACAATTATAAGATTCATAATTCGATGTATCCAATGTCATATTCTAAATATAAAAAATATGAAATATAAAAATAAAACAAAAAAAATGTTTTGTTTTACCGATGATTCGTGATCTTTCGTTGAACGTTTAAATTTCTTTTTTTGATTTGTTGTTTCATTTAAAATATCATGTTTTCGTCTTGAACTTGTTCGTTTAGTTGATATTGACGATGATGATGATGAAAACGCATTGTGAGTTTCTATAGATTCATTATTATTATTATTATTATCGTCATTATCATGATCGTCATCGTCATGATTAGGTGATTGAATTTTAAAAAATAATTGTACACCACTACTTGATTTTTTATTATGATTAGATGCTTGATCAATATGTTTAGGTGCACCTTTACGTTTTGATAATCGTTTAGGTTCAATGGTTTTTTGTTCCATAGAAATTTTTTGCTGAGTTATATTTTTTATTTGTTTATCTAATTGATAATGTGTTATTTGTGATGTTTTACGAAATTTTGACCGAAGACTTTTTTGTGTTTGTTCAAATGTACGATATGATGTTTCAAGTTTTGTTAGTGATGTTGCACATGTACCGCAAATAACATTTGAATAATGATCATTTGAATTATTTTCAGGTAAATTTATACATAAATAACGTACAATTAAATCACGATAACGAAATGGACGACGTTTATATATATTATAAATACGATTATGATGGTGTGAACACCAGGTTTTATGATGTAATGATGATGTATCTTTTAGACGTGTATAACAAAGACGACAGCGATCTTTTATACTCGTCCCAGTGGTCATTTCTATACGAAAAAAAAAAAAAGATGAAATGTAATAGACATTATTATTATGATTGATAGAATATGATAGAAACGTGTTTACGTAATATTTCATAGTTTTCAGAAAAGGAAATCTAATTCACGAGATATTAACGTTCTATTTATGAAGAAAAAAAATCCTATTAGGATTATAACGATCTTGATCTCATTTTAGAAAATACACGTGAAAATATAAGTATAAACTGATAAAAATCTCGACTCAGGTAACTTTTTTTTTCTTCTGCCAACAACATACTTCGATCATACTTTTACACACTTTACATACATAGACCGAAATAACACATATATATATATATATATTATATATAGGCAGATAGAGAGAAAAAAACAGAATGACGTACTGCTTTTTTTTTGTCTTACTCTCTCTGTCTCTCTATCTTACTATCAGAAATCTCTCTTTTCTTTGAATTTGTTCAGTGACGATAGCGGCAACAATGTCGGTGGTCTTCTTTGCGCGTTCGCTTGCGCTTGCGCGCGTTCACATAACTCTCTCTAGTCCTCCCGGAAAAATATATGATGAAAAAATACGTATGGAGATAGCAAGCAATAGTGGGTGTTCATGGAAAGGGGGGGGGGTGAGAAAGACAGAGAGAGAGAGAAGAAAAATTCTCGTCTAACTTCCCTTCGGTCGGGCATGAACATATTTTGCACGCACACAACTAAATCACCAGGAGAGACAGAGAGAAAACGAGAAGAGTGCGCTGCTTGCTCGTTCGTTTTCTCTCTTGTTGATTCTCATGATGATGATGTTCAGGACAGTTCTTCTTTTTTTTTTCCTTCTCTCTCTCTTTCTCTGTCGCTATATAACGAAGAGAAAGAAAAAGACAGGCTCTTTTTTGAAGGACGACACGACGTGCTTGTTAGTGGCACGGTCAGGATTGAACAACGCAATAAGTTATGTTCCCTTCTTTTGCTCTCTTCTACAAAAAAAACTCCTCCTTTTTTCTTGCTTTTCTTTTTTTTTATTCTCTTACGCGAGTCATCATGTTCACAATTGCGTGTATAATGCTTCTATGTGCATATTTCCAAGGTTCCCTCCTCGGGTTTTGTCTAACTCGTCGTTGGGAAAAAAAACGAGAATAGAAACAAAAAGGAAAAAAAACGAGGAGTTGTATAACACACATACATGGATAGATTTTTTTTTCTTTCTATTCACCGATTGTGTGTGTGTGTGTGTGTGTGTTCAACAGCGAGTCTTCTTTGTACTTTTTGTCTCCGACATTCTTCTTTTACTGAGAACAAAAACGTTCGACATGAGCAGAAATAGAAAGATGATAAAAAGCAAGACACATAAGCAGAAAAAAAGGAGCAAATACACGCCCTATAACACTATCACGGAAATGATGTATTGCACAGAGGGGAACAAAAATGGAGTTGTATATAAGCAACAAAAAAAAAAAAAGAAAAAAAATTCTTTCATGGATAATATAAAAGATTTTTACATAATAGACAATTATATCTTTATGTAGAGTCCGTTTTTTTTTTGTTTATTATATTCTTTTTATTAATTTGATGATAATAACAAGCAAAGTAAACTATGTGGCATACATTGAAATAATTGTTAAAATAGAAATCGTGTTTTTTTTCGATTTACTTACATATGAAAAACAAAAAAGAAATATGTCCAATTTCTGTATGTTAATTCGCTTATTTTATCAAGGTGACGAGCGCCTATGCACAACAAAATTTTATGCTGCTTCTTCGTTTTCGTTGTCTATTTATTCAGCTATTCATTTTGCATGCACTATCATCCACCTTCTTTCTCTGTATACTCACATGCTGCTATTACTTTCTTGTTACGAAAGATGACTAGATTCTCTCTCTCTCACATACACTTACTTTCGCACGACGAGAATCTTTATCTACATCGAACGACGTTGTCGTCAATGTACTTTTTTTGCATTGTTGTTGTTCTGTCTCTCTCTCTCTCTCTCTGTCGATTCTTACCTGTTCCTTTCGTACAAGAGAGAGAAGTACAACAAGCCAGCACAACGCGTGGATAAACTTTTTTACGCCGAGTATGCATCTGTGTATGTTCTTCCTTTTGCGACTACGCACTTTTTTTTACATATTATCAATTTTCCTTTTCTTTAGTTCGTTTTGTAACAGACAGATGAAATAAAAAATAAAAAGAATGCATTGAATACATACGTTGTTTCAAGGACAATGAGGCCAACCGTCACCAGAGATTCGTTGACAATATTTCGCCTCTTTTTTTTTTAATTTTTTTTTCTCTATCTTTCTGACTCTTTCTTTTCTCACTGCATGATTTGGACTGTGCCTTCTTTATTTTGTATATCCAAAAAGCAGCAGCAGCAGCAGCTTTCGTCTTTCTACGTCAATGTTGTGTCGTCCCTTTTCTTGTACATTACACCCAGCGCACATACAATATAACGTCTGTTCTTTATCGCTCTTCCTTCCTCTCTCTTTCGTGTTTTTTTCGAAAAAAAACCAATACTGACTGATTTTTTTGTGCATGTATGTTTCTTTGTTACAATTGCTACTGCTGTTACTTCTTCCGATTAAAATATGTATAAATAAATCACAAAAAAAAAACTAAGAGAAACAAAAAAGGAATTTGAAAAGTGCAATTCTATTATTATAATTTTTTTTTTATTGTTTACTAAATGCTGCATCAAATTGTTTATCTCCACGTTTAAAATCTAATTGACGTACAAATTGAAGTGATTCTTGAGCACCAAATTCTCTATCCATATCACCATCTTCCCATTCAACAGATAATGGACCATGATAATTAATTTGATTAAGTGTACGAATAATTTTTTCGAAATCAACTTTTCCACGTCCAAGTGAACGAAAATTAAAAAATCTTCTTGAATCACCAAACATTGTATGACCACCAAAAACTCCAGCTTCACATGGACGATTCCAATCAAAATCTACATCTTTCATATGAACATGAAATATACGTGATTTAAATCGACGTAAAAATTCAATATAATCAACACCTTGATAAGCAAAATGTGATGGATCAAAATTAAAACCAAATGATGAATGATTATCAATAGCATTTAATGTACGTTCAGCACTAACAATATCAAAAGCTATTTCACTTGGATGAACTTCTAATGCAAAATAAACATCACATTTTTTATATTCATCTAATATTGGCTTCCATCGTTTAGAAAAATCTTTATAACCTTCATTTATTTGTTCAGGATTAATTGGTGGAAAACCATATAGTAAATGCCAAATACTTGAACCAGTAAAACCATTAACAATTTTTATACCTAAATTTTTTGCAGCATAAGCAGCAGCAATAACTTCTTTAGCAGCTCGTTCTTTAACACCTTCAGATTCACCATCACCCCAAACATGTTCTGGTAAAATAGGTCGATGACGTCGTTCATCAATATGATCACATACAGCTTGACCAACTAAATGTGCTGATATAGCAAAAAGTTTTAAATTATGTTTTGATAATAAGGAAAGAATTTCTTGACAATATGCTTGATTAGTAGATGCTTTATGAATATCAATATGTCCACCAAGTTCTAATCCATCAAAACCCCATTCACGAGCTTTTTCTGCAAGAATTTCCAATGGTATATCAGCAAATTGAGCTGTAAATAAAGTAACTGGACGCATCTAGAACATATTTATAAAACAAAAGTAGTTATTTATGCATTATAAAATACAAACATAGAAGAAAACAATTGATTTAAGTTTATTGTTCATCATTAGATAGAAATTTAAAAAAATCAAATTGATGTACTTAAACTTTTAACCATAATAATTGAATTATTTTCAAATCTTACTTTCTCAAAACTTGCTGCTTTGATATTATTTCAAGTAAACTAATAATCATTTTATTGATATAATCAGATTCAAATAATTACCCATAGAAATAAAATAGATATTTGTAATTTTTTATAGCGAAAAAAAGAAAGTCATAAATTACATATGAACAAAGACTTTCATATAGATTTTCGGATGACAATTGAATAAAAGATTTTTCACATTTGTTAAGGTTCAACATGAAAGAAAGCATACATTTTTGATAAGATTGTTCAATTGCGTCTGTTTCTTCATGTTCATTTGAATATGAAATAATAATTAATCCATTACATACCAGTCATTATTTATTCCTTGCATTTAATATTCATTGAAGGCTATGTTAAAGATAATAAAGGCAATTGTAATGAGTTAGAATATTATCCTTCATTGAAGCATCATTAAGATGACTATAAACAGATAGTTAAAGTTATAAAGACTAAAAAGAAAAGATAAAACAGATGAATATATCTAGAGAGAGGCTCTGAATTGACGAAAGATATTGTGGCGACAATAGATATGTATTTAGGTATGATTGGCTTTTGTTTTAAATCAATGAAATTTTTATTTTTAGAACTTCGCTTTATATTTATTTGAATTTTATATTTTTATTTTGTATTTAGTTTATAATAAAACTATTTTAATAAAAAAAATGTATGCTTGTTTTCATAACTTGATCGAAATACAATATTGAATGTTGAACTACAAGAAATTCTCGATGTATTGAATGAATAACCTGTTCATAAAGGTGTAAGATTGATGCTACCAGTATAATCGAATTGTAGATTATAGAAAAACTATTTGTTCTTGTAAAAGTACAGGTTTTAGCAAGATAGTTTACGATTTAAGTCTTTCTACTATATCTTGAGTCATATGTTTACTGATTGTTCAGATCAATCCAATGATAAACAATAATAATTGCACAATCAAAGAACTAATTCTTATTAACCATTGTATTACACAAGTATTTCATTCATGATTAGTATTCTTTTTTTTTTATTAATATTTCGATCACATTCACATTAGTATTTATGTATGTAAAACAAATTTACTAAAATTTATCGTTATATGCCTAATTGGTAAGATAATAAGTTACGATCAGTCAATGCCTTACGCACTAGTGTATATTTAAATGAATATATTATACTAACGGGTATGTCAGAATAA